GGGAGCTGGCAGGAAAGTGGCAGAAAAAAAAAAAAGAAGGACACAAGCAAGCGTGCGTCTCCTCACCCAAACATCTTCGTTGCAGCCAGTAGAAGAGAGCTAACACACTGCTGCGCCGCCCAGGGGTGAGCAATTAATTTGATGCCAGCCTTCCAAGACCCGCTTTAACCAAAGCCACTCCAAAGGAAGATATAGGGGCTAAAGACATTCAGTGGCCATACGTTATTTATTGTCAATGTGAGCTTGTAGGCTGCATTCCAAATAAAGTTTTCGTTATAACTCTGTGCGGTAACTCTTAATATGTAATAGACGTGCGCACAGTGACGCGTCGCTAAAACCTGAGAAGTAACACACAACCACACCATACTAATCCGATAGATTCCTAATGATTCAAAAACATGATAAAACGTAGGGTACGACATGTGGAATTAATTATCCGGGCTGCAACGTGATGCTGTCCTGCTTCAATTTGTGTCAAGCAACAGACCTTATTTCGAGCTATTTTGCCAAAATCCTATGGAGAAATTGCATTGGTTTTGTCGACAGGAACCGGAAGGAGTTTACTTCCGTTTTAGGACGCGTCTTTATGCTTTAATAGCTACCTAACTGAATTTGTATTCAAATTAATTAATCAATTATTTTTTATTGTAATGTATTGACAAGGCTTTTAGTGACAATCATGTATTGCGTTACAATTATATGTAAAAAATAAAATTAAATATGATATTTGGCCTCAAATCATCTGAGGCCTGGCGCCCCCCCTGCGATCTTTGGCGCGCCCCCCAGGTTGGGAACCACTGGTCTAGCTAATGTAAGCTAAATATGCTTAATCACAGTGTGGCATGTAGCGATAATGGCTTGGTATTATATATGCACATTAAACAGTGTGTTATAAATTACACTAAAGCGTTACTGTAGGCCCTGTTTAATATGTTTGGTAAATATCTACTTTGTCTGTATTTAATCTAAGGGTCATTGGCCTAAAAACGTTGAAGACCCCTGTTATAATGAAACACCTGTAGGGTATTTATCGTTTTGAAACATACTGTAACATTTAATTCTCTTTTGTCACGCAGGTGGCATCACCCGCGACACCTTCCAGAAGGAGCTCTGGTGCTACGACCCCGCCGCCGACACGTGGAGTCGCCGCTCCGACATGATGGAGCTACGCGGCCTTCACTGCATGTGCACGGCGGGAGAAAGACTTTACGTGATGGGAGGGAATCACTTCAGAGGCAGCAGCGACTACGACGACGTGCTGGGCTGCGAGTTCTACAGCCCGGACACCGACCAGTGGAGCGTGGTGGCTCCGATGCCTCGGGGCCAGAGCGATGTGGGGGTGACGGTGTTTGGCGGGCAGATCTACGTGGTGGGGGGGTACTCCTGGAACAGCAGGTGCATGGTGGACATTGTGCAGCGGTACGACCCGGAGAAGGACGTCTGGGAGCGGGTGTTCAACGTGTTGGAGCCTCTGGGGGGGATCAGAGCCTGCACGATGACCGTTCATCTGCCCGAGGGGTCGGTGGACGAGGCTCAGATTCAGGAGTGCCCTCTGCCCACAGACAAGAGCTGATCATGCACCAAAGAAGTTTCCGATTTAGATTCAAGATTCAAGGCTTTTATTGTCATTTGTGATTTGTACAATAGCTACAGTGAAGTTATGAGAATGAAAATCTTAGGTCACAGGCTCCTCCAACAGTGCAACACAATAAAACTGTGCAAGTAAATACAATAGAATAGAATATAATAGAAATAGTGCAGAATAGTATACAAGTAATTGGAATATTGATATATAGAAGTTGCAAACAGATGAATGTTATGGATTTCTTTTGCCTTGAGTGTGAAGAAGGCAAAACAGGAAGCAGTGTGGGTTGCAAACACAAGCGTGGCAAGCTATTACGACATTCAAGTGTTTGAAAATGCCACGTCGCTCTATAACACTTTGCTATCTTTAGTGCCATTTCCTGTCCTTGCATTTTATTGTGAGCCAAAGTCCCCTGCTTGTGTTTTTAGCTATGCAGTTTCCACATGTTAAACACACCTTCCATCTTTAATGTAAGGTCAAACCTCCCCCTCAAATGAAATTTACTGTTGATGTTTCACAGATCAAAGACATTGAAATCAATCACATGAACCTCTATAACCTTGGAAGGAGTTTCCAAATTCAGGGATAGCATTAGTCACTCTAATAATGTCGTGAAACAACGTTGTCCTTATCCCACTAACAAATACTTTCTTTGTTACTCAATGGCATATGATCAAACGGGGGATCAGCTCATAATGAAGTGTGTCAAAAGCACAATGTGGCTCATTTATGTATTTCAGCTAGCTCAGAGTCATGAGATGTAAGCCAGAAGACAAAACATGTTTTTATTACGATTGAGATGTTCGATTGGAAATTCCTGATGTTCCTTAACCATGTAGTTCAAGCAGAAAGACACATTTTCGAAATATAACTTAGTTTACGCACAGATTCAGACATGTAAAAATGGTTTTGTATATTTATGCAATGTTTTTAAATGAAAATAAAGTTTTAATGATACTCCTTATGTCACATTAATCACTGTCAGTGAAGGCTGAAGTTGTATCAGCCCCCAAGCATTGAAGCTTGCCGGTGGGTGGGCGTGTCTGAAACTCGACCAACAACCAATCACATGAATCTCCCGCCCCGGACACACAAGCACGCGGTTTGATTGGCCAGAGCTTGTACTGGCATATGATTTGATTGGCTGACGCTTCCATCGAAGCCTCAAAAGTTGAACATTGCTCAACTTTTGAAGCGAGCAACGCGGGCAAAGCGAAACGACGGAACCACAACGCAGTTCGGCAAAGCGTGACGTCACCCCATTCAAAGTGAATGGGCAGAAGCGTTGAAGCTTCCACGCACGCCGCCGTGTGGACGGGCCGTAACGCAGCGTCCACACGGCGACGTGCGTTGAAGCTTGCCGGCGGGCGTGTCTGAAGCTCGACCAACAACCAATCACATGAATCTCCCGCCCCGGACACACAAGCACGCGGTTTGATTGGCTAGAGCTTGTACTGGCATATTATTTGATTGGCTGACGCTTCCGTCGAAGCTTCAAAAGTTGAACATTGCTCAACTTTTGAAGCGAGCAAAGCGAAGCAACGCTCCCACAATGCAGTTCGGCAAAGCGTGACGTCACCCCATTCAAAGTGAATGGGCAGAAGCGTTGAGGCTTCAACGCACGCCGCCGTGTGGACGGGCCGTTAGACAACAAGAGAACCTGCAGCTCTGCACAAACATTTGTACTGAAACACACACTCTTCAGTGGATCTGATGACGATGAAACTATCCTTGAGACTTCATCCTTCACCCTGTACATAAGACAACAGACAGCTGTGATATCAACTGCAGCGCCAAGGACTACAAATACTGAAAATCAGGCAGCTACTATACATAGACTCTATAATAAGAAGAGACTCGACCTAATTCATCTATATTATGCATACTCTAGCTAATTAAAACCAATCACCCACATCGAAAATAACTTCAAATGAACTTACGTAGCTAACATCAAGAGACTAAAGAGTCTATTTTGGACTCCTGATTAAAAACTGAAGTGTAGTCAGTGAGTGGAGAAGTATCTTTTCCATACATAAAAGTAGTAACACCACTGTGAGTCTTGCATTTAATATATAACAAGTTATAATAAGTTAAATTAAACAAGTATAAGCATCAAAAGAGACCAAATGAGTACTAAGTACTAATTCAATGATCAATCTCAGAATAAGATATATCTTTGAAACAATTAAACATTGGATAATAAACATTAATGCATTCTTTTTTTCATCACTTCAACATTAGACCTGGTTAACATTTGTATGACTTAATATTCGTGGTTTATGAATCTATGAAAATAAATCTAAATATTTTTGTTGATTAAAGATTGTATTATTAATCTGAATCTGCAAAGTAATTAAAATTGTAAAATAAATGCAATGGACCCAAAAGTACAACATTTCCCTCTTAGATTAAGTGGAGCTGAAGTATAAGGTAGAAGTAAATTGAAATATCTAAAATAAGTCCTCCAGAGTTGTACTTTAGTTTAATACTTGAGTAAATGTTCTTAGTTGTTTTCCACCAGTGTAGGAAATGTTACCCTTGATGTTCATGGACATGATAATACTGATAATCATGACAGAAACCCTGCAGCAGTGGAGTTTCCTCCACAGCCACATGACCCAGTTTACAATTCCCAGAGCAAACCATGGTCAATGATACACTATAATTCATCACTGTGTGAGGGAAAACGACTTCTGGCCTTCTGGCCGACAGATGTCACCTTGAAATGTTGAATATTATTGTATTTGGCTGATCTACTGTAGCCTTGTACCTGCTTAGGGAGTGAAAAGTGTTTGAATAATATACTGGAGAACAGATCTACTCATCTTCCCTTCAAAATGAACCTTGGCAAAATGTGTTTTCAAAGTGTTTTGACAAAACAGAGAGGAAAATGATTCAGCAATGTGATATAACGTGTTGTTCAAACAATGCCATTGATTGTGCGGGCTCAATCTGCACATTTAAGTTCATTATACTGTAAGTATGTATAAAGACGATAAAGATATTCTGATTCTGCAAATGTAGGTACAAAAGCGTGCAAAATGAATCACAGCACAGGACTAATTTGCAACCTGAGGGGGAGGGGTATGAGCCGATAAGTAGGAAACTCTAGGACTAATGAGGCTGATTCAGAGCAGGTGTATGTGCAGAAAGGGAAAACGCATCCATACTGAGACATACAGTAGGAGCAATCCTTGGATAATTCTCTTTGAATTACGGGGGCGTGTGGTGCAGTGGGTTGTGCGTTGGTGTTGGGATCAGGGGGTCACAGGTTCAAACCCCACTGCAGTCAGCATGTCTTTGTGTCTCTGGGCAAGACACTTCACCTCAAATTGCTCCTGTGGGAATTGCCCACAGTATTGAGTATCTAAGTCGCTTTGGATAAAAGTGTCTAAGTGACATGTAATGTTAAAGGTGACATATTATGAAAGACCCACTTTTTCAGTGCTTGTGTATACATTTTGATATCTGGTGTCACACAGTCAGAAAACATGGATAAAAGAAGCCATTAAGATGTGTCTCCTCTTCCTCTGCACACCTGGATAAAAACCTAGCTTACACACTTGCTGGTTTCTCCAAAGTTGCCTACCACTCTGTTTTCCATATATTATAATCTCATTTACTGCACTACATCTCAGAGGCAACAATTATCCTTTTTAGCGGACTGAATATGTTTACCTGATTAATACATATCTTAAAAGATGCTTTGTTGACACAAAGCACTGCTAACTGTTACTACTTCTACACAGAAAATCAATACAGGACGTTTGCACTTTTGTTGTATCACCCTTAAAATATCCCGACCTTTCTTCCATCAGTCATGAGGAATCATTCATTTTTTTTAAAAGGAGCCAATTATCATGTTTCAGTCAGTGTTATTTCCAAAGAGTATACCAGCAGATGTCCTTGGCATTTAAAACGTCCCATCCCATTATTTTGTCTAGCTCCAAAAAGCATAAAAATCCGTCCTGTAAAATCAGAGCCCATCCCCTTTTTTTTTTTTAAACTGCCCTGGAGCAACTAATTACTTTTTCTGGTGAAGTTTGTGAGTTTACAAAAAGTGAAATACTTGAGGCAGGGAGTACATAAGAGTTGTAGTTCTCTCAGAAATAGAACCAGAAACATCCAGCCCTTTTTTGAGCGTTTTACTTTTGAGAAGGCTTCAAGAAGGGGTTTCATTGTAAGGGTGTTGTGTCCTGATACTAATAGAGGATTGAGCTGCGATGTCTCTGAGAGGCGAAGTGTGTGTAGTGACGGGAGCTGGAGGGTTTCTGGGGAAGAGGCTGGTGAGGCTGCTGCTGGAGGAGGAGAAGCTGGCTGAGATCCGACTGCTGGACAAACACGTGCAGCCACAGCTTCTACAGTCTCTGGAGGGTAAAACCTGACAACATATGTTTTTAATCGTTATGCAGCAATTTTCAAAGTATAGAGAGAAGTGTGTCTCTGACAGCAAAGTCAAATGATTGGATTTACTCTTTTATACCCTTAATATTATGAGGCTGAAGAACAATTACTTGGCAACGCTTAGTACCAGCTCTTTGATCTTTTGAAAATCTATTTTTCCAAGATCCAATTTCGGGAGCAATTACCAATGAATCATTTTAAAATTAAAAAAGTGATTGATTTGTATTCCTTCTATCTTAACCTCAACTAAACCAGCAGAGATCATTTCTAAAACGAATGAGTTTACAGTTGGTTAATGTCTGTATATGCAACTACTTTAAAATAAATACCGAAGATAATTCTGTAGATGTTTTTGTTTTACAAACTAAGTAACGTTAGTCTTAGCTCAATCTTAATCTTAATGCAATTTAAACGTCTTTAATTTCATCCTACTTCAGATCCAATTCTTCTTGCTTCAGTTGATCCAATTGCCTTACATTTTGTTTGTCCTTAGAGCAAGTTGTTATATTGTGTTTACTCTGCTATATTGTGTATTATGTCTACACCTCAATACATTCAGTTTAAATAAAGAATGTGATTTATAGATGAGTGTTAATCAATGAGTTTCTTGTGTGTCAGACTGTAGAGGCAAAACCACGCTGAGTGTTTGTGAGGGAGACATCAGAGACGCTGATTTCCTGAGAAAAAGCTGTCGAGGTGCATCGATCGTCTTCCACGTCGCAGCCATTATTGATGTTAATGACTCGGTGGAGT